TGCCCTTCCTAATGCTGTGTAATCCGCACAGGTTTAGTGTATAACTTCGGCGAAGGCGAAAGGCTCTTAGGTATCAAATACGCACACGCGACATGGATCACTATTCGATATACGAGCAGCTCACGCGTGTCGTATAAGTGTCATACGTGAACAATACTATACTAGGCTTGAATTGTTACTAAAACATCACGGTAGAAATGATCATCACCATTTCGTTGGGTTTTCTCTTCTGTTTGCGGCAGAAAAACTTATGCGCTCACCGCGAGTACATGCGCCGAATTCACCCAACGCGTGTGCAACCATTGTGTAGGGAAATTTGTCACAGGGAGACTGGTCACCCCTTGCTCTCTCTTCTTTTGTGTTAATTATCGGGCTTTCAACTTGTGGTATTTTTACGTGTGAAGAATTTTCATGTAATAAATTCGAGCACCTCCTCATTAGCCTTTCTGTTTCTTCTACTCTCACCTTGGCGTAGAATAATATCAGTTACATATATAGCTCGCATCATATACATTGTTCTCACTTTACTTGTTCTTTTGTTGTAGTTTCTCTATGTTGTACTTTTTAGTTATATTTCTCTATTCTCATAATATACACATTGATAGATGTGATGAAATTCGAAACTAGTAACCGTGTTATGTAATAATATTAACTAATTTACCCAGGTAATATCACTATTGATAAATTAAAATATTAGATTTTGTGGACGAAATTCGTGGTTATATAACCTTATTTCATAACACGATTGAATGACATACTGCACAGCGGGCATACTGCATATACTTGACATTTATTCATGACATGCATTTATCATTCTGCAAGTAGCACCACTATGCATTGTAAATAGACACTCGCTGTGTAAGCGTGGTGGTCAAGCATAGACGACAAGTACGACAGTAACAGTAACGACCGCTAAACTAACTATATAAGTTCTCTCCCAGAGATCGATTTGAGCGGAAATACATCAGAAAGGAGCGCGACCCGCCATGCTTGACATAGCTACCAAGAGAGGTCAAGATGTCACGTCGGATCACCGAACACATGCAGCCGGTAAAGCCCCAGCAGTTTACGCTATTATTTACGCTACACGCGCACGCACGCACGCCGCCGCGCACGCACGCGTAAAGCCGCGCGACCACGCGTGCCCGCACGCCCGCACCGCTTGTCACCCACCGCTGATCCGTTTAGCACGTCGCTTTTCATTTCCCCGCGCCTGACCGGTCGTACTTAGCACGACTCGCGGACTCTAAGTACGCGCGTGCACGTGTGTGTGTGTGTGTGTGTGTGTGTGTGTGTGTGTGTGTGTGTGTGTGTGTGTGTGTGTGTGTGTGTGCGTGCGTGTGTGTGTGTGTGTGTGTGTGTGTGTGTGTGTGTGTGTGTGTGTGTGTGTGTGTGTGTGTGTGTGCGTGCGTGTGTGTGTGTGTGTGTGTGTGTGTGTGTGTGTGTGTGCGTGTGTGTGTGTGTGTGTGTGTGTGTGCGTGCGTGTGTGTGTGTGTGTGTGGGTGTGCGTG